TGGGTAATGATTTCAGCTGCCACAGACACGCTCACTAAGTCATTTAGGCGGGCATTGTGCGACAGTCAGTGCGTCATTTAGTGGGTTAGTTAGACTAGCTAACAGCTACTTATTGTTGTGGCATAAAAAACCCAAAAATGAAAAATGCACGCAGCTGCCAAGCTAAGCGCGAATTGTAGCGCCTCATAGTATTACACACACACACATATATATATATATATAAACAAATTTAGTGGCATTAGGCGCAATAGAAAACACAGAAACGGCGCGTTGGTGGCAACGCATCAAGTGTCACAATTTGTTGATTTTTTATGATTTTTATGTTGATTTTATGTCTGCGCGTTTGGCAACAGGAAGCCGCTAACAAAAGCAATGTGTACTAATAATACAATAAAATAATAAAATATGTGGCATAAAATTTTGGTGCGTTCTTTTATGACTTAGTGTAAGTGTGTGTGATTGTTGGGGTGGTAAAATTTGTGGCGGACGCAATTACAAATTTTTATGCGTTCACAGGTTGATTTTTATAGGCGCATGCACGCATACACACACAATCACACATATTTCATGGTAAATTTGCTATCAGTCCGCATTATATCACCTTTGACTACATAAATACAAATAAACTGTGATTTTGCGATTTTGTTTTATGTCTTTTGTTTTCTTAAAGCTTTAATAGATTTTTTGTAGCTTAATTAAATACTCTGGGGCTTACAGAAATGAGCGTAATTGTTTTCGAAGCTAAATTTTATATGTTCAGACATAAATGTGCTGGTTTTATGGTCGAAGCATGCTCAAATGTAGAATTGCGTGCGGAGAAATTATGTGTATTTATTAGATCTAATTAGGTATTTGAGGCTTTTCACATTTATATTAAAAATATTGGTTGGAGATATTTTTATTGCATTTCATATAATTTCTTTGGAATTTCATGTAAGAGATTGCAGGATTTTTATACGCTATGAAATTTTTAATAATTATATAAAAGTTTAAAAATGTATATCAAAACTTTCAAAATGGTTTTTAATTAAAAAGTTATAAAACTAAATTTTCTTAATTAGCCGCTTGAAATACAATAATTTATAACTATATCGGTCTTTTATAGGAAACTGTCTCGTTAAAAAAATTTTAATTAATTTAATGTTGTAACTTTGGTAATACAATTATAATTTTTTCTGAAATCATTAACTGAAAAATTAAATTGACTAATTTATGCTTTAATATATACTCTTTAAATCAAATAGTAAATTTTATAATAATAAGCCTCTATATTATAATAAGAGCCTCAATAAAATTTTGCCATTTGGCGTAAAATCTTCGTTTCTTTTATGTGTTCGAAGATCTAATTAAAAAACTTTTTAATATTATTTTCGAAATTATGCATTCCAAATTGCCTCATTTATGCCAATTTTGATGTTATGCAAGACTTTTTGAGTAAAAAAAAATTTAATTAGTTTAATTTTCTAAATTAGCTGAAGAAATGGTAAGAGCTTCGTGCCCGTAAATTATTCTAAAATCAAACCCTGTTTAGAAAGCTTTTACACCTTTAAGGGATACATAGTGTGGCAGCCTTAAAAACGTTGATTTTCGCGAATTAAAATACAAAACTCTGTATCGATTGTTTTGAAAATTTCAGGGTATATTTATCCAAAAAAAATTACATATTTTTTGAGTTTTACGAGATCTCCGACGGCGTTTAAAAAATGTCCTTCTCTGCTGCAATTATTCCCGCCTTCTCTGTGGATATATTTTAAGCATAAAAAAAATTCATTCTCCTAAATTTTAAAAATCAAAAAAAAAATTCTAAAATCGAAAATTTACCAAATGGCGTCGTTTAAAAAAAATATGGAGAATTTTATCCCTATTTGTAGCAAATTGGAAACACGGAAAATATCGATTTGAAATTTTAGTATGTTATTTTTAAAGTTATAAACTTTTAACTTAAAATAAAATATTTAAAATATTGGTAGTTGAATACAGTTTCAACTATTTGAAAAAAAAAATAAAAAATATGACTTTATTTATTAAACAATAAATTTTTCAAACGTTTAATACCAAACATGCTGTAAAAATTTGATTTAAAAATATTTATGAAAATATGCTAGAAAATATAATAATAAAACAAAATTATAAAAAAAAACTCTACAATTTCCAAACAAAATGCATAACTTTCATTATCAGAAAATTGTTTCTTTAAATTTTGAAGTCTGCTTCCCAGTAGCGGTTTTTATTGAAAATGCTTGAGGAAACTTTCTCTAGTTCTTATAAAAAGTTGTTAAGGCTCTAAACACTTTTAGTAACGTACTTTTATATAAAAATCCTAGAAAAACTAGCATTATATAGACATTAAACAACTAGCTACACTTAAATTTCGGCCACAAGCCTCGGTAATCACACACTTTAAAGTAAAATAAAATGTTGCGTCTTATAGCGCTAACAATCACCCATACCCTTTCACTTATTGCATATTCATAAAATGTATACGCAAATAAACACCCCACAAAAATGTCCTTAAAACGCATTACGCCCAAGAAAATTGGCCATTAGGGCGCGCTATGCCGCCAGCATGACTGCAGCAAGTGAGGGTGATAAAGTCGTGCCGAAATAAAAAAAAAATTTTAAGAAAAAAATTCTTTAAAGACTGTGTGGCACCGCACTCGCTTCCAAATTAAACAAAGGTGCGACCATAATTTGAAAAAAAATATGTGCCGGAAATGCAAATCCCCACCACCGACGGCTTTTCGCCAAGACGCGCGCTGCCCACACTTACGTCGCGTTATGCTAAGAAAATTGCTGTGATATGACATTAAATTTTTCTACCGTAACTTCAATTTAAAGTTTGTTTATTTTTAGCTTTCTTTACTTTTAAGAACACATGAAATTCGAAACTCGATTTTTGTGCGCTCTGCTTGGCTCGCTATCAGCAGCACGCACGCTGTTGTTGTTTATATTACACTTTGAATTTTCCATTGTCTTTATGGCAATTGCAGCTAATAAAGTAAATTATTATTAGCGCTTCATTGCCTGGCATGGCTTTATTCGGCTGACGTCTGACTGCCTGCCTGTCGCAAGTAGTGTATATTTCTTACTCGGTGGCAACAATTTTGCTGATTACATTCTTTTCCTTTTCACTTTTTTATGGTTTTTTTTTTTTGCTGCTGCTGCTGCTCTATGACACCTTAACCGCTGTAGTGGCTATAACATTGACAAAAATTGCATATTAAGACAGTTAGCTGGGCGTAACATCGCGAGGGCGGTGTGGTGGAGTACTTGTGAGGCGTGTATGTGTTTGTGTGTGTGGGGGTTCACTGGTTGGCGGCATGCAAAATGTTGGCAAATGTTTGAATGGTTAATTTTGAAAAGTTAATGTAAATATGAAATTTTTATTAATGTCTTCTTGTTAGTCGACTGGGAATTGTTCGAAAAAGAAAATGTTTGCTTTTGCGCTTTAATGCATTTGAAATGCTATCGCAGGCGTTTTAATGCATTACAAAGTGTACTTGAAATTAGCTTTATTAATAAAGATTTATTTTATGCTTATGCAAATGTTTGTAGTAGGTTTGCAGAGAATTTGTGGAAGTGCAGTAAGACCTGAAGAGTTTTTAATTGAAGTAAAGTTGGGTTAAAAAATCGAAAAAATTAGTAATGTTAAAAAACAAATAAGATAGGTAGTTTTAAATATAAAATAAAATAAGAAGATTAGAATTTTTAACACAATAAATATGTTGACATATAATATTTAAGGTACAGTTTTTATATCTAAATTTTGAAGTTCTGAAATTAATATTAGCACTTTAATGCTTCGAAGTAAATTTAGAACGTTAAAAAAAAAAAATAAAAAAATAAAGAAATATGAAATATACATAAAAAAAATATGAAAAAATATCTTTTAAAAATAAACGAAAAATAATTTTTTTTTTTGATAATATAGGTAGGTAGGAAGAGTGGCTGTCCAATGACGCACCTAGGCCTATAGGAGGCCCATTGTGATACCACCGGGTTTTTGATAATATAAAATCACTACAAAATCACTTAAGAAATAATTTTAAACAAATTTATAGTAAATTGCAGTTGTCTAAAAACTACTAAAAATCACTCACTGATATCAAAACTCGGTCACATGTTGATTGCTGCCACTGCCACTAAATTCCCTATAAGCCCCTTAGATAAATATTTTATTTATAGCGCGCAGCTACATATATGTACTTGTATTTGCTACCAGCCATATTTACGACAAATCATTACGTATAATCAAATAATTAAACAAATATATAAAAAATATTACAGTTCCAAATCGCCACAAGCCTTGTCTTAAGCCACAAATAATACAACAGAAATCTATGAGCTTTAGAGCAATATCGAAAATTTCTACGAGCGCAGGTGGAGTAAACCCTAGTGAAAATAAAATAGTTTTGCCTACAAATAAAATACATTTATAAGTAATAAAGCACATGTCGTGATATTATTAAAAGCAATAAGCAGACGTGTGTGCAAGTGCATACTTCTATATATACATATATATGTACATACGAGTATGTATGTATCAGCATATATGAAATATGCGTAAACTGATATGTTAAGTCTGCTGGGTTAATGCTAAGTTGACAAGTGTTACAAATATGTTATATTTCTTGGTAGTTCTCGATCAATTTGCTACAAAGAATCTTTTATTGAAGGCATGAGACCCTATTAATATGTTTTGTATATAATATATAAATATATACATATGTAGTAACGTAATATATATGTAATACGATACAAAACGGAAAATTTTACAATTACTCACCAAGGGTTGCTGCAACTATTTTATTTTTTACTCTTTAATTTCTTTATTTTTTTATATCACATATTTTCATTTTTGCAAATTTTCAAATTTACTTTCTTTAAATTATTATGTTTTTAGTTTAGTTAATTAATGACATTTTTTTCGTTATTCTATTTTTACAATATTTACTTGACCTTTGCTGATAAGCGGCTTCTCTCTTTACAAAAAATTCCAGGTCGATGGTGTCGAAGAGAATGGTCATCACCTGCCGATGCTAGAAATGCAGATCCCTCAAGGCGATTATACTCCTCAGTCTTCCTCGGCAGTCCTGGTGAGTAATAAAAATTAAATATATATTATATTATACGACAAAATGTAGAATATTAAGGTCGGGGCTTGTCATAAATTATTATTTACTATGAGCTTTCTATGCTTTCGTCCAGGCGACAATAATTGCGCTTCTTCTAGGTAGGAAAATAAATATGAATCTATAACTTGTCGGCCGCTATCATAGAACTCAGTTTTATAAACGCTCATTCAATTTTGTAGGCCCAAGTTAACTGATTTTTTAATTAAGTAGAGCCAAGGAAGTAAAAAGGAATAGCTTTAAAGCTCAATTCGGGAAGCATACACATTTAAACTTGTCCATTTTTAAACAAAGTTTCGGTGCATATAGTTTGGATTTAAAAAAAAAATGTCGTAGTATCAAGAAAAAAACAAAAACTCACAAAAAATTTAAAATACCAAAGAGAATCTCAAAGCTAAATGAACATGTTCTAAAAAGCCAATACTAACTTTAAAACTTACACAAAAATTAAAAATTACACATTTTATATTTGAGTTGATGAACTGAAGGCTAAAAAGGACAGACAAGTAAAGCACACAAAACGAGCAAAAACGATAAAAAAGAAAGAAAAATGGACTTCATGCAGGATTAGCTGTAGTAATGGTAGAGGACAGCTAGAAGAAAGGGTATAGCTGTTCAGATTGAAAGCTTTCTTATACATAGATAAGCAGGACGTTGGAGAAGAATTGATTAATTTGCGGTAGAAACCAGATATCACAGAGAGTTGGAATTTCTGATGCAAAGCATCAAAACCACGCATAAGATGATGCATTAGGAATATCCGGGTATTGGCTGCAGATTTTCATACGCACAAACATACATACATATTGACGCTGAGAGTCACCCTGAATTTGAATGCGTACAACAGCAGGCGCTATATTGAAGCGTATATATAGAAGGTATAAAGGCAAAAAAGGTTGAAAAACTTCAAAGCAATGAACAAAGAATGCAACGGCAATTGAATGCCGTTGATATAAGAACCACATTCACTGCTGCCATGAACCGTAGCCATAGCCACTGACAACGCTAACCAATGCTGTTGCCCGATGCCGATGCTGAGGATAATGATGAAGTCGGTAGACCAGTCAGACAGTCAGCTAAGCGAGCCTCGGGCAATGGCAAGCCATTCAAAGGCACACTAATCCAACTATAGTGTACCGGCTGCTGCCGCATACCGCATGCCACATACATATTACATGTATGTCTACTACAGAATGTTAACGCATCATCTTGCAGGCTTGCAGACCCCAAAGAACAAAAGCACAAAACAAGTTGATGGAGTTAGTAGGAGAAGGAAGTGCGCTGACGCTAACGTCAGTACTGATGCTGCTGCTGCTCTGAGGCTATGCGGTGCATTTGCTGTTATTGCTGGTGTTGCTGGTGGTTACGGGTTTAACCGTGGCAGCAGCTGAAGCAGCGGGAAATGAGCTTCTCAAACTCATTTGTGGTATGCATGTCGTAGACGTTGTAGAACAGTTGATAGAACATGCCTGGCGTCCCAGCTGCCGCATTGCCAACTCACCGGCTTCAATAGTCTCGAATGCCACTGCATTGTTGTTAGCAGGCTAGCTGGCTGGCTGGCTCACTGACTGGTTGACTGGTTGGTTGGCGCGAAATGGCTGCCACACAACTTACGCGCATGTGGAGTAAGTTTATGTATGCAAGTAGTTGGTATGTGGTGGCAGCGCCAGTTGCCACATGTGGTAAGCATGTAACTGAGTTAGTAAGAAAGTAAGTAGTAGATACATCAACTTGCTGCGACTAGCGCAACCATAGAGATGGTTTTGAACGATGCTCGATGGATGGATAGTTGTTTAGCAAGGCGCTCGAAGATAGTGGCGAACAGACTTGGAAGAAATGTGGTGGGGCAGTGTAGGTGGTGTAGTTCCCTCAACAACAAGCAACGCAAGTGTGTCGTCTATGAGAGTTTTTAGTTATCTTGCTACATGTGTGTGCGTGTGTGTGGCAAGTGCGTGCACAATTGTGGGTAATGAAGGTTGGCGCATGAGCGCTTAAGCGGAATGCTAGGGATTGATGGCTGTTGAAGCGGCTATGGCCGAGAGCCACCAGCAGCAGGTTAGCAGGCGGAAATTGCATTGTTGAATGATATTTACGCGTCGCATAACGCAAAAGTTGGGGCCGGAAAAGGCAGCAGTAGCAGCGACGGTCAAGGGACGACCTCAGGCGAGCACCCAAGCAGTCAAGCGTCCAAGCAGAATGTGCAAAAAGTGTGCTGCTATGAAAAAGAGTGAAAGGACTAGATGTGTTAGGTAAGGTGGACGCATGCACACACATTTATTTTCTTTATATGTGTGCCTTGCAACGCAGTTCTGCGGTTCATATTATGTGCCATTGTGCGCTATCATACTTTACATTTTTCGGGTTGTAGAGCAACGCAGTCTGTGGTAATGTCCGTGTTTACTTATTTATCAATAGCTCGTCTGACGCTTGTGTGTGCCCATTTTTTTTGCTCAACTACACGCTAAAGTTTTGAGTTGCAGCTTTAGGATTAAAATTATTTCCAACACACGCCTATGTGTAAGTCCTTTGTTTCACTTCTGGCTGCCGATCAGCGTTGAGACTGATTTTACTGGACAACTTTGGCAGGTTTGTTGGGCTACTGCCGGTTCAGAGTTGATTATTGCTGAGTGAGTGACTTCAATTCTGGTCTTTACTGCCTTAGTATAACCATAAATAGCTTTTACTTTGATTTTTTGCTATTTTGGGCGTCGGTGTTGCATCGTTTATGGATACATATATGTATTATTGTATTTAGTTGTCACATCATCCTGTTTTGCGCATTTTGACTTTTATGGCACACAGTTGCGCCTATCTGCGAATACAAGCATAGTTGCAAGTCCAGATATATACCGATTTCGTTGCTGGTGTGTCTTTTATAGCAAAAGTGCATTAAAAAATATTTCTAAAAAAATAGATATATACATCATTATAATATATGCTGTCTTTAAAATCCCATTGGTGTTATGGTTTTTATAACCTGAACAGGGTATGCCACACAGTTGGTAACGCCCAGAAAGAAATGTCGGCGACCCTATAAAATATGTATATAACTGATCAGTGTAACGTGCTGAGTCGATTTAGTCATGTCCGTCTGTATATATATTCGTGAACTGTTGAGCGTTCCGTTAGTTTTTTAATATATGCAGTGTTTGTATGAAAAATTTTTTAATTTGACGAGATAACTTCATGAAATTTGGCATGGATTATTGTCCACGAGAACGGTAAAATCTTCAAAAAAATTGTTAAGATCGCACTACTATAGCATATAGCTGCCATACAAAATAACCAAACAAATTCAAATGCTTTTTATTTGTGAAGGGCATTCCAACTTCGGTGCAAGTTGACATTTTTTTCATGTTTATATGAAAATAAATATTCCTGCAATAGTTCGATTGCTGAAACCGCTCTCAAACAACAACAAAAACCATTATATGTAAATCAGCAGTACCCAGCAAAAGTATATCTCCCCACCAACATCAAGTAATTTGCTTAGATCATCTTGCATAATGCGCTGCTCTTATTGTTGTTGCATTTTATGCGCATTGCTGCTCTTAGCCAATTCGTTACACTCAATTTGCAAATCATTTTTCCATAGAAAGCCAATTCGAGCGCAACCACAATCAGCTCGGCGCGTCTTTCATACCGATCATGTGCGACATGCGCTTGAAACATGCTTTAAAAAGACCATGTTGCCGGCTATAAAGAAATGAGAGCTTAAGCAAAGGTGTGTGATCAATATGAGCAGAATACGGCTCAGATTTAAGCAAAATGTAGCAAAAACAAAAATTATAAATAAAACCAATCAAGAAATGCTCAAAAATTCCAGGCTTTTGTGCGCGATATGGAAATTTGCGCGACTTCTCCGCGATTATTTGCGTACATCTGTGTTGTTGTATTTGTTTTATTACTCCCTTCCTTCCTTACCTTTTGTTAGCTGAACCCAAAATTGTTAGTAAAGATTTGCTGAAAGCCAAATTCAGTCAAAATAACTAAAAAAATGTGCTTTGCTTAGTTGTTGATGACCTTGGTGTGGCATTAACTGCAAGCATAAGTAAACAACAGCTGAACCTGAAACGACCATAGTAATGATTTTCTTTGAAATACACGCTTAAACAACAATAAGCTTTGGACCGCGGCACCGTGTCTAGTGCTGTTGGTTGGCCAAGCTTTTTTTTCGTTTCATCGACTTTATTTCTGGTTGTTGCCTGTACTTCCATAATGTGTTTATAGCGTAAGCATTGCTACAGGGCCTGCGCTAATATCTCCTAATAAATTGTTGTAGTCGCGCGCTAAATTCACTAAGTCAAACGCTTTGACTCGTGAGCCAGCGGTCAATTATTTCGATACCATTTCAGTTATAACAACACGCTGTCGTCATTTCTAAGCGCTAAACTCACCAGCCATCCTTACACCGAAGATCTATCGTTTTATATCGCCGACAGGCTGTCTATCGTCTTTGCCATCCGTCTGCTCAAACTTGTTTAATCTACATTTGCTGTCTTCAAACGATCACTTTACCGCTACGTTTTTCAAATGCGCTGTCTTCACGAACACGTGTTGTTGTTCTTCTTTTCTTCTCGATCTCCTTGCGGCGGCACTGCCATTCGATCTCGATCGATTTTCGAACGTGGTGTAATAACACTAAATTGTTGCTGATTATCCTTTTGGCGGTTCCATACAATCCATCGATACAACGATCTCGCTGTCTGTCCCACAACTACAAACATCGCGTACACTACTTTAGCCAACGCCGCCATTGGGCTGATGAATACGCAGAAAAGAATGTAATACCTTTTACCGTTCTTACTAGATTGTTCGCGCAAAATCTTTATGCTACACACCTCACTCCCGCATTCGATCTGCTTTTCGATTGTTAGCTTTCTGCATTGCCAGCCAAGCAGTCAGTCAGCTCGTTTGCATATTGGAAGTAACCCAGGCGCTGCGAATATTCGGCGCGGTCGACC